TGGATCTGGTCAGACAAACCGGTATACGTGGTTTACGATCGGATTTTGTTATTAACTGAATGTTTTTTCTTTTCTTTCTCTCAGATTTTTTTGATTTTTTCTGGATCTGGTCAGACAAACCGGTATACTTGGTTTACGATCGGATTTTGTTATTAACCGAGAAAACCCAGAATTAGGGTGAAATAAGCGTTCAATGTTTATTCTTTAGAGAAGTAGTACGAAATTTGTTATCCGGATCTATATGAGAAGATATAAAATTTTCGAGGAGGAATTAGTAATTTTCCGGACTTATAGACAACAAATTCGGAACGAATAACTTGAAAAGTTAAACTACAGTATTTTTCAGTTGGACCCATTATTTTGAATATTTACAGAATCGCCCCACATATTTTGTCATTTACCATCCAAAGCCATATTTCCCTCGTCGTCCCCATTTAAAAAGCAAACCATTCAAAGTCTCAATCCATTTCCCACAAACCAAAAAAGTAAAATCAAAATTCGAAACGAGAAAGAGAGATTCGCACTGAAGAAAACACACACAGCTTTTTCCTTCTTCTGGTGATTCGTTTCTCATGGCGACGAAGCTTTTGTCGCTCACATGCATACGGAAAGAGAGATTCAGCGAGCGTTACCCTCTTGTTCGGAAACACCTAACCAGATCTCAAGACGGCGGATCATCGTCGGAGACGGCGGTTGATGATGCGATTTCAAGGGCGGTTTATCGCGTTTTGGGTATGACTTGCTCTGCTTGCGCTGGATCTGTCGAGAAAGCTATCAAGCGTCTCCCTGGGATTCACGAAGCTGTCATCGACGCGTTAAACAATCGGGCTCAAATCCTGTTTTATCCGAGCTTAGTCGATGTAAGTTATGATCTCTCAACTGAATATTGTTCGATTACAGTGACATGTGAATCGATTACAGAATTGATTGGGATTTAGGGTTTTTTTCTGTGTAATTGTGGTGGAAATTAGGGATATAGGATTTTTATTTGGATTATTGGATTTTTCATTTTTGTAGGTGGAGACGATTCGTGAGACTATCGAAGATGCTGGATTTGAAGCATCGTTGATCGAAAACGAGGCGAATGAGAGGTCAAGACAAGTTTGCAGGATAAGAATAAATGGTATGACTTGTGCCTCATGTTCTTCAACAATCGAAAGAGTTTTGCAATCAGTTCATGGTGTGCAGAGAGCTCATGTTGCTTTAGCAATCGAAGAAGCTGAAATTCATTATGATCCTAGACTCCTGAGCTATGATAAGCTACTGGAAGAGATAGAAAATGCTGGATTTGAAGCGGTACTTATAAGTACGGGTGAGGATGTGAGCAAGATCGATTTAAAGATTGATGGTGAGTTTACTGATGAATCCATGACGATAATTGAGAGATCGCTTGAAGCACTTCCTGGGGTACAAAATGTTGAGATCAACCATGGAACTGATAAGATATCTGTATTGTATAAACCTGATGTGACGGGGCCAAGGAATTTCATTAGGGTGATTGAGTCTATTGTCTTTGGTCATAGTGGTCACATCAAGGCAACAATATTTTCCGAGGGAGGGGTAGGCAGAGAATCTCAGAAGCAAGGGGAGATTAAGCAGTACTATAAGTCGTTCCTTTGGAGTTTGGTTTTTACGGTACCAGTGTTTTTGACAGCCATGGTCTTTATGTATATCCCTGGAATTAAACAGTTGCTGATGTTTAAGGTCATTAATATGCTCACCATTGGAGAAATCATAAGGTGGGTTTTGGCTACCCCTGTCCAGTTTGTCATAGGTTGGAGATTTTATGTTGGCTCTTACAAGGCTTTACGCCGAGGATCAGCTAACATGGATGTTCTGATTGCTCTGGGAACAAATGCAGCCTATTTCTATTCATTATACACAGTGTTGAGAGCTGCAACCTCTTCTGATTTCATGGGAGTAGATTTCTTTGAGACTAGCGCCATGCTCATTTCGTTTATCATACTAGGAAAATATTTGGAGATTATGGCCAAAGGAAAAACATCTCAAGCGATCGCAAAGCTTATGAACTTGGCACCCGAGACTGCGATATTGTTGACTTTGGACAATGAAGGGAATGTGGCTGGTGAAGAAGAGATTGATGGTCGATTGATACAAAAGAATGATGTGATCAAAATCGTTCCTGGTGCTAAAGTAGCTTCAGATGGTTATGTCATATGGGGACAAAGTCATGTGAATGAAAGTATGATAACTGGAGAGGCAAGGCCAGTGTCAAAGAGAAAGGGTGACACAGTAATAGGAGGCACTTTGAACGAGAATGGAGTTCTGCATGTTAAGGTGACAAGGGTTGGTTCAGAGAGTGCTCTTGCACAGATTGTTCGACTTGTTGAGTCTGCACAGCTGGCCAAAGCTCCAGTACAGAAGTTGGCTGATCGAATTTCCAAGTTCTTTGTTCCTCTGGTGAGTAATCTGACATTCTGATGAACATAACGTTTTAGTCTTTTAGATTCACGACTATTTTTCTTACTCAGTGGGTTACAATGTTGCAGGTCATTTTCCTCTCGTTCTCAACTTGGCTTGCCTGGTTCTTAGCTGGGAAACTGCACTGGTACCCTCAGTCCTGGATACCTTCTTCAATGGATAGCTTCGAGCTAGCTCTTCAGTTTGGAATTTCTGTCATGGTCATAGCTTGTCCATGTGCTCTTGGGCTGGCTACTCCAACCGCTGTTATGGTTGGTACTGGGGTTGGTGCATCTCAAGGTGTGCTGATAAAGGGTGGTCAAGCCCTAGAAAAAGCACACAAGGTTAGTGCACCATAACTTGTTAAGCTCTCTTTCATTCGTACCATTTTTGAAGATGATGAAATCTAACAGTTTTTATGACGGTGTAGGTAAATTGCATTGTCTTTGACAAGACAGGGACCCTTACGATGGGGAAGCCTGTGGTTGTAAAAACTAAACTCCTGAAAAACATGGTACTTCGAGAGTTCTATGAACTTGTTGCCGCAACTGAGGTAATCTCTTGTAACTAGCTAACACGCACACAAATGTTTATGGTTAAATTTTTGAAACTCATTTCATGCATATAAAGTGATATCAAATCTATCCTTTTATCAGGTAAACAGTGAGCATCCGTTAGCAAAGGCCATTGTCGAGTATGCGAAGAAATTCAGAGACGATGAAGAGAACCCTGCATGGCCTGAAGCCCGTGATTTTGTGTCTATCACTGGGAACGGAGTTAAAGCCACCGTCAGAGGAAGAGAGGTTATGGTGGGAAACAAGAATCTCATGTCTGACCTCGGAGTCACTATTCCAGCAGATGCTGAAGAATTGCTAGCAGAAGCTGAAGAGATGGCCCAGACCGGGATTCTTGTCTCCATAGATAGCGAATTGACTGGAGTTTTGGCTGTTTCGGATCCTCTAAAACCGAGTGCTCGAGAAGCCGTCTCCATTCTAAAATCCATGAATATCATAAGCATCATGGTTACTGGTGACAACTGGGGAACTGCAAATTCCATTGCTAGAGAAGTCGGTATCGACTCTGTTATCGCAGAAGCTAAACCTGAGCAAAAAGCAGAGAAAGTCAAGGAACTACAGGTAACCTTATAGCTCCACACTAAATGTAAGAAAGTTCACATGTTTAATACTCGAAATTGATAGAACCAATGATTTTGCAGGCTGCAGGACATGTTGTGGCAATGGTTGGTGACGGAATCAATGACTCACCGGCTCTTGTGGCAGCGGATGTAGGAATGGCGATAGGTGCAGGAACCGACATTGCCATAGAAGCAGCTGATATAGTTTTGATGAAAAGCAACTTAGAAGATGTTATCACAGCCATTGATCTTTCAAGGAAAACATTCTCAAGAATCCGACTAAACTACGTATGGGCTCTCGGGTATAACCTCATGGGGATACCGATCGCTGCGGGAGTTCTTTTCCCGTCGACTCGGTTCAGGTTGCCTCCATGGATTGCAGGTGCTGCAATGGCTGCTTCTTCCGTTAGTGTTGTGTGTTGCTCTCTCTTGTTGAAGAACTACAAACGGCCTAAGAAACTTGATAATCTGGAGATCCGTGAGATTCAGGTGGAGCGGGTTTAGAAAACCAGAATAAACCGATTACCGGGTAATTTAATCTTATGAACCAACCGTGTTAGAAAGTTTCCTCACCTTCTTGTACAAAATTATTTACCACATGGTTTTGGGTTTGGATTTAAGAAATAATTCATGTGACTACCGTTTGGATTGGTAAGTTTCATGAACATCGTTTGGTAAGTTTAAAAAAAAAATGAATCGAAAAGAAATACATGAACATCGTTTGGTAAGTTTCAAAAAAAAAACACATCGTTTGGTAACTATTTAGCAAAAAAAAGCAAAAAAAAAACATTGTTTGGTAAC